GTACGAACCCTTTGTACGAACAAAAGTAAGAGAAATTTAGGATAAGAATACGAACATGTTCTTACATGAGGCCCAGTGTTTGTAAAAAAAAAAGAAAGAAAAGAAAAAAGTTTGATTAATGGTGATTAAAATGTTTAATGTATGCTCAGCACTAAAATTAATATGAGTTAACTCCATTAATTTAAAAACACAGCTCCAGTTAGTTATTGTTTTTTATTTTATTACAGTTTTATTTATTTTCCTTTCAGTTTTCATTTATCTGATAGTTTTAGTAACTGTATGAACCCTGACAGGCTCCGTGTGTTTTGTTTTCCTCCTCCCACAGTGGGGGGTGGGAGCTGAGTGCTGGGCGGTCTGGTCCGAGGACGGGCAGGTCTACCCGGCCACGGTGGTGGCGGTGGACGGCGGGCGCTGCAGGGTTCGATTCACCGGCTACGGCAACGAGGAGGACGTGGCTGTGAGCGAGCTGCAGAGTCTCTGTGACACGCCCGGCTCGCAGCTGCAGCTCGAAACCTTTACGGTGATTTTAAACAAAACCTGCTTCGGTCCGAATCATTCAGCTGCTCCTCAAAGACTTTATCTGAAGTTAAAATATTTCAAACAGAAACTAGTTAAGATTTTTATCCATTTTAGTTTATTTTCATAATGTTTTAAGAAGCTCAGAAGTTGTAGTTACAAACGTAAAGCTTTGAGTTTGTTTGTGTTTTCCTGTAAATGATGGTTTACGTTACGTTTGTTGCCTCAGGACTGGACGCCTGGCTCTCAGTGTCGGGCCGTGTATTCACAGGACGGCCTGGTGTATGCAGCCGAAGTCCTGTGGGTCAAAGGTCAGCGCTGCCGCATTCGCTACAACAACTACAACAACGAAGAGGAAGTGGACGTCKGCAGCCTCCTGAGACCCGATGAGCTCCACGGCCCCAGCAGAACCGCCGCCGCCGCCGCCGCCATCAAGGTAAAGACAGGAAGTGGGTCGTTCCTGGTGCTGAAGATGAAACTTCTTTAACTCCTGTTCAGACCAACAGACAAACGTTCATCAGGTTAAATCAAGATGTTTGTTTTACAGAAAAGAGCCGTAAGAATTATCTGTAGAAAAATTACAACCATCCATCAAATACGTTATTTTATAAACTGAAAATGTAGAAATTCTATGTTTTGGTTGATTTATAATATTTGACTGTTTATGAACCAGAGTCACAGAAACATGTTAGCTTCAAACATTCAGGTCAACTTGGTGAACAGAGACTTGTTTTTATCTGAAGGGACGGAAACATATTTTCATACTTGTTNTGCATTATACAGTATATAACCTTTTCAAAAGTATAATGAATGAGGCTAAAAACTCCTGGAAACCATGAATCCACTTATGYACATTACCTGTGCAAAYCCTCCTGCTGCTGAAGTGAACAACAACACAGTTACAGAGGTTTTAGTAAAAAAATATTTAGGCGTTTTGTCCTTTGGCACAGATTGGCACAGTTTGGCTCCACCTACAAAAGTAGAGTTTTTTAAAGTTTTTAGTTACAAAACTTACAAAACTTGATAAATAAGTAAGCTAACTAGCAAAAACAGCACATTTTATATTTTATTTTTTAAACGGCACGTAYACAACSGGAAGTATGGTGTGTGACGCTGCGCTTTACGTGTAAAATGTGTTTTTAGRTCGGAGGAGCAGCTAGCRTTACGCGGGACTATAACTTCAGTTTGGATTGGCTGAATTGCACAGATCACCCCTCCTTTTCATCCTGGGAACCAGTAGAATCAAGCTATCTTCAGCACGTTCATGTAAACCTGACCAATCACACGCTATAAGGAGAGGAGGTCTGTGACGCAGTTTGAAAGACTTTCACCTTCGTCCAGTGAACGTCTTGTAATTGGGTCAGACTTTTGGAGGAGGAASTGCTTGAAACTCATACCAGGAAATATAGTTGCTCTGTAAATATAAGTTTATGCCAGTGGATTTAGGATTTGGAGGAAAAACATATGAAGGTAAGAAAACTTATGTTTTATAATTTTCAAATCCGAGTGCTAGGTCTTCTGTTTTTGTGCTGCTAGTTGAGTGAGTTCTGGTTGGATTGTGATGAAACTTATATTTTTA